ATGTAGTTTAATTGTGTATTTACCCAGTGGAGTTACATAACTCAGTGGAACTAAAACTCGGATATGACTGATTATTAGTAGAGGAAAAATACCTTTTACACACCAAATATTTCAGAGAACAGATAGTTAAGTCTAATAAATTACAAAGCAGTTGCCAGATTGCAGAAAAAAAAATCTTTCCATGATTTTGGTATGAAATACTTTTCTAAGCATGAAAATGAAGCAGGGAATGACAGGTAATCATTGTTGTCATATACAAACATCATTGTACGTAAATGGAATCACATAAAAACAAATAAAATACAAGTGGAAGCCTATAAAGAATACCTTCCTCTGTATCTGCCTTTCCTGCCATGTCAGTTTATTACAAGCGATTTCCCAAACCACGTGTATTAGGACATGTACATACATAATCATCCAAGAGTTTTTGTTCATTATTTTATGTAAAACAAGATTGTATTGGTGTTTTTTAAAAAATCTCTTTAGAGTCCACTGTAGCACTGTCCTCCCATTGTTCATCGATTTGCTTGAGTGGGCACCGGTAACATCTCCATTGTGAGACTTGTTGTTACTGTGTTTGGCATATCAAATACGCCACGAGGAGCTTGCCAGGCTCTGCTGTGCAGGCGGGATACTCTTGGTAGCTTGCCGGGCTCTCCGAGAGGGGAGGAAGGAATTGAACCTGAATTGGCCGTGTGCAAGGCAAACACCCTACCTGCTGTGGTATTGCTCCAGCCCTGAGTCCACTGTACTTTAGGAAAAAGCCCTGTGTTGTTTGGCATATTTCAACTTTGTTTGCCAGCTACACCTCACGGGTTACTTCTGCCTGGCCTAGTGTGATGCTCAGATGCTCCTTCCTTGGGGGGCTGTGTGGTGCTGGGGGTGACTCCAGAATAATTAGATGCAAACCATATACTCCATCTCCTTGGCTCACCTCCCAGCCCTAATTCCTTCACATAACTACTCATAGAAGAGTCAGATATTTCAAATTTTCAGTTTATTCAGGCATTTCAAAATAGCGGACATGCTATTTGTTCTCACTTTGTGTGTGTGTGTGTGTGTGTGTGTGTGTGTGTGTGTGTGTGTGTGGTGGATGGGTCTTTCAGACAGTATTTAGGAAACCTGGGGGTTCCCTCTCAGTGACTTTTTGCCTACTGGTCCAGTGTTCAATGTGAGGGCCTGAGGATGTGGTGTTGGAGGACCCTTCAGTGCCGAGTCATCCCTACAGAGCGCAGGGAGCCCGGGGCTGCACCCTGAAGAACTGGTGCCTCCAGCATGAATCTGCACCACACACATCACCGACCAAGCTGGCCCTAGTTTCCAGCTTGTTTCCAGTTCTTGATCGTGTGGAATTTGCTGCCTTAACCATCTACATTTCTCACAGGAATTGGACCTTTTGTTTCTCTGGGGAAAAAAATGCTTACAAGAATTGCTCGCCTCACAATGAAAAAGTTTTCATTATTTCTAGGATAAATACAGGTTTTCTCGAGTCTTTTTTCCAAAAGTCTTTATCATTCATTATATTTTTTTGCCAGTGTGTAAAAGTGCCTCTTCCTGCCAGTAGTAGGCATGAGAGCTCACTCTACTCCTCTTCACATAGCCTCAAGTTGTTCGTGGTCTCAAATGTAGATGATTGACTTGGGCTTCTCCTTTTGAAAGTATTTTCTGGGAAAGACAAAATGTCATATGAGTGTGAAGCTTTTGAGAACGCCCCCACCTCCAGGATTATATCTAGTCCTTATTTTTCTTTATTTTTCCTTAAGGTTCCTGAACAGATTCTTTTTTTTCTTTGTTTTTATTTTGACTCTTCTAATACCCTTTTCATTTGCTACAAGATTGCCAGAGGTTGGTTGCCTCCTGCAGTGCCTTGGAGATAGGACTTTTTGTCTCCCTGAGCTCCTGTCACTTGATACTGAACTCAGTGTTCATTTCACACAGATCTGAACTCTCTGTCAAATGATACTGTCACCAGGCCTGGGAGGAAAAAAATAGAATAGAATTTTCCAGGGAACTGCAACTTGGGTCAAAATATTGATTGTGTTCTAGGGATGCTAGTTTTTGAAGGAGCTCAAAAGAAGTTTTTTTTTCTTTTTTTTTAACATAAATTTATTTTAGAACAGATTTTAAGATGTTTATGACTACCCTCACATCCAGTTATGTGACCCATATTTGCCATTGACGAAGTAAGAGATGAGGAATATGCTTGTGACACTTAAGAGGAATTACGGGGATTTGGGTCTTACGAGAAATGTGCTTATGAGGGGCTGGGAAAACCTTAAATATGTATATATTTTTAGAGTCGCCTGCTGACCGATATGGTATGGATATGAAACCAAGAATTTGTGAATGAGGCCATGGGACTAGGCCATCAAAACGCCAGAACTCCTTTTTCTGTGACTCTAGTGAGCTTCCAGAGTTTTCAAGTAGTCAACATTTTTGTTTTACTTTTATTTCCGTTCTTGTGCCAGTGAGCTCACCTAGACCCTTACTTTGAATGCCATTCAGTCAGTTTCCTTCCTTTTCCAGTTTCCTGGCCTTTTTTTTTTTTGTTTTCCAAATTCAGGTTTTATTTTAGGATCCCTGGTTTACAGTCCAGTGAACAATAGGATTTCACGCAGAACACAGTCCCACACCCTCCCTCCACCAGAGCGTCCATATCCTCGGTTGTCCCAGGGTTCCCTTCCTTGTCCTACTCCCCCCATCACCTCCCCTAAGGAAGCTTCGAACTGTGCAGCATGAAGTAGCTCTCAGTTTCTGTTGTCTTTGGTTGCTTGTTAGATCTCTACTGTTTCTTGACGCCCCACTTGTGAAAGAGATCTTTATCTCTTGCTTTCCGTGACTCAACATGATTCTCTCCAGATCCACATGGCAGCAAATTGTGTGATTTCATCTTTTCTTTATTTTTCTTTATTTAGTTTTGCTTTTTTGGGTCACACCTGGCAATGCACAGGGGTTACTCCTGGCTCTGCACTCAGGAGTTACTCCTGGCGGTGCTCAGGGGGCCATATGGGATGCTGGGAATCGAACCTGGGTCGGCCGCGTGCAAGGCAAACGCTTTACCCGCTGTGCTATCTCTCCAGCCCCTTTCATCTTTTCTTTAAACTGAGTCATTTTCCACTGTATACATGGGGCCTGTTATTTAAATTTCACACAACTCTGTCCATATCCAAATTTAATGCAGTGAATTAGAGTTTTATTACTTTATTTTCTTAATTGCAATGGCAGTGGCATGACATTTTATTTAAATGTTTTCTCTAGAATTTTAAAAAATTTGTAAGAGTTCATTCAGAGAAATGATAATAAGGAAAATACTTGCAACTTTTAATGGATAAACAATGACCTTTGAATATTAAATTTAATTGGGTGCATGGTTGGACCACTACTGGAAGTGAGCAGGGCTGACTCCCGGTCCTGTGCTCAGAGATCACGCCAATGAAACGTCACAGATAAAACCATTTTCAGCCACTTGCAAGGTTTAACTTTATTTTTAAACCTAAGCAAGGTAACATAAAAGCATGAATGTGAGCTATTTTAATGGAAGAAATACAGATGAATAGTAGTCCTAAATTATTTGCTGCTAGAAATTAAAATAATCCAAATTATGGAATGGGCATTATTTGGGAAGGGCATTTTGAAGAGCCTCATACTGCTGATATATATATTGGTGCAAGTTTTCAGGAGTACATTTCTACCAGCATACTCTTTCTTAGGAATAAACCTAGGGAAAGATCATTAATTTATTTACTGAATAAAATTATTGTTGATTATCATTAAGTGCCTGTTGTTAGTCATTGTTCACCATTGAATAACTGGCAAATAAATGTATTATTATGTCACATAATATATGTGTGATCACAGATCATCCTGTTATTCGTCGATTGCCTCGAGCAGGCCCCAGTAACGTCTCCTTCATCCTAGCCCTGAGATTATATTCAAGGCTCTTTAGGAGAATGAGACCCATCATGTTACTGGTATTTGGCATATTGGGTACGACACAGGGAGTTTGCCAGACTCTGCTGTGTGGGCAGGTTATATTCGGGAGCCTGCCAGTTTGTCAAAGTAGGAATGAGATGTCATAATAACATGTTGCGCGGCTGCATTTGCGGCCGCGCAGTTCTGGAATCTGGTTTTTATGGTCTCTGAGTCTTGGCCGCTGATGGGATTACACGGCGCCAGGGGGCCAGTTGGTGGGTGTGACCCCCACCTACTGGAATTTGGAGGATCTGGGTGGAGGATGCTCGACTCCAATCCGAGTAGGCTTGGAGATCTCGGCCCCGGAACATAATATACACACTTAAAAATCTTCAGTTTCATAGAAATTACATTATTGGTGAGGTAACAACAAAAATATAAAGTAAATTAGAACTAGAGTACAGCAGGGAAGGAAAAAAACAAGAAAGAGATAAAAATTGGGTGTTTGTGGGGGGAATAATTAATAATGTTTACAATTACTTAACTACAAATGGGAATGAATGAATGTTTTCTTTGTATCTTTTGTTGCTAATGAACATGTAGAAGTAGATAATCAATGCACATTTAAAAAAATCTTTTGAATTTATTGTATCTTTACTGAAAATTATTGTGTTTAGTGGTTTGGGGATGTCATAAGGGGTAGATTTACTTTAGGACAATAAATATACATGGCTTTATTAGCATGGGTCTGAAGTTAAAATTTTTTAGCTCACTAAAATGCTCTTGCACTTGTCTGCAAATGAGAATCTTGGAAGACCATTAATTTCTTTTACTAGAATCATATTTATATTACATAAATGCTGCTACTGAGTTGTTCACTGCATTTACTTTCCGGCAAAGAATTTCAAATAGTAAATTGTCTTGATCGTTTAAAATATCTTCTTTTGTGTCAAGTTCTTATTTAAAAATAAGTTCACAATGTTTCATGTTGGGTTTTGTCTTAGCTCGCTTTCATATCCTAAGCTGTCAATGTAAGAGTTTAGAGTAACGTAGCATTTTAGAATTTAATACAGGAAACTGTATTTTAGGAAAACAGCTAAAGGATGGAAAGAAGCCAGAACCATGCAAGCCTATCCTCAAGGTGGAATTCAAAACGACAAGATCTGGGTAAGAGTGCGCTTCACTGACCATAGCCAGTATGTGTTATACAAATAGTGCTGAAGACTGTTATTGTTGTTGTTATGTATCGAAGACCTACTTTTGAATCACCTGGCCTATTTCAAAATTTATACTTTAGTAGAATGACTGAAAATTGTAATGTTTTGCAGGAGTTCTAGCATTTATAAGCATATTCTCTATATTGGAAACCTTGAATTCTTTTTTATTTTTTTTAAATCAAGCTTCAAACTTTAATTTCATCAGAAGAATAGGTGGCAATTAGAAATTACATTTAGTATTAAGGGAAGTTCTATTTGAAGACATTGATTCCACTTAATGAATTAGCTATGTAAAATGTATGACATATGCAATTTAGGTACTATACATGTATTTTTGTGTGTATCAGTGTTGTATATAAAAATATAAACAAGTTTATTGCTTCTTTGAAAATTGCTTCTCTCTCTAACTGCTGAAGAAGCTCTTTTATATGTGTTTTTGTTCTCTAGGGGGAAACGTGTGGTTTTATTTGCTTAGGTCTGTAACAGTGATTTTAGGTAGCATGCATAGTATATCTCATCCTGTGGTTCCGAAATTGTAATTGACCGCACTGGGTTCTGCTATATTAACTGCAAACTTACTATAAATAGAAATTCTGAGATTCCACCCCAGACCTAAGAGCTGAAAATCCCTTTGGATAGCCCTCTGCAGTAGAAGAAACTGTATCTTAAACAGACGCACAGGAGATTTTGTTGTTCACTTAAGTTTGAAACCATTGGGTTATTAGACTTGATCACTTTCCTTCTTCATCTTTCTTTCTCCCAATCTAATTTGAGTCAGCTCTGTTCTCACTGAAAACAGGAGTAGGCTAAAGAATCTTAAGATTGCTGCTGGTTTGCCTTGATCCTCTTTAACCTTCCTCTGGGATCCAGCAAATATAGTCTATTCAGGTAATTGGGTAAATGGACTCTAAGGCGAGTAGCATCTGTTTAATTGACTGTGGCATCCCTCACTGTATGATCTTTGGCAGAGTCATTTGACCTTTCTATGACACGTTTTCCTCATTTATGACCAATGTATTAAATAGGTCAAAATATTGCTATGATGAATTAAGTGAGATAATCATTTATTCAAGACACTTCTCGCAATGAACCACGCATAATAAATGTTCTATAAGTGGTTGCCCTTATACAGGAAACTCTATCGACAATTGATTGGAGTTTGATGTTTTCTATGACAACAGGATGTAAATGGATAAACATGGCAGGCAGCAAGAATTATGTTGGCGGGGGGTGGGGGGTGAGGAGGTGGGAGGGAGAGAAACCCTTAAAAACTGCTTACAGTACGACACTAGCCTGGAAACGAACAGCTCTGATTGTTTTCTTGCTTCTTACCTATTAATCTGAGAAAATATTGAGTGGCAAGGAAAGGCAAAAGTCCAGGAGACATTTGTCCTCTCTCCCTCTCTGTTCTCTGTGGTCCCATTTTCCTTCCCCTCATATGTGAGAGTGATCCCTCAGAGTTCCAGGTTTCTCCAGGATAGCAGCCTGACTGTGTCTTTGTAGAGGAAAGTGTGGCTCATCACTCTGCCTTTGGAGATGCTACTAAGTAGATCTGTAGGCTGACCCGTGGCAGGAGACTTCTCCAGGTTTCCAGAATCTTTTTTTGACTTGGAATAAATGGGATAAATTGAGTGGGTTCTCTCTGACTCCGCGACACCCTTCCTTCAGAAACTTCACCCATTTCTTGGTCATGGGGACCTAACGTGCCCTCCTCTTCCACCGAGAGGGCCCACCAACAGCTCTCAACTTTTTTGTTTTTCCCACAAGAGTCTTGAGCAGATGCCACACTTCCTGATAACACATTAGCAGCTTGTATTAGCCGACCCATCTTTCTCCGTTTTAATTGTGTAGGTGTCTCCATATCTTAATTTTATCTAACCGAGACGTGATCATTAGGCAAAGGAACTTTCTTTGTCCCTCGGCACACATGCCTTCACTTTAAGAGCAACTGGGCCACATTGACTTGATGTGCTAGAAGCAACTTGTAATTTTTCCCTCCCAGAACTTATGCTTGTCTTCAATAATGAAATTATTCATGTTCCACAACTCCCCATTAAGTTTTCTGCTTGATGGAAGCCCGGGACATATTTCTATATTTCCAATGATTCTAGACAAGTGTTACTGAATGTGAGGAAGATAAGTTGGTGCAGAGACAATTGTAGCGTGAAGAATTACCTGTTAACTGTTAGTAAAAAATGCATAATTGAGTTCTCAGACAAAGGTGACTTCTTACAAACGGGAATCAAGATGTGTAGCTTTTTAAAAAAATCATTTTTGGCTCCGTAATTTACAGAATTTTTACTGTAGGGTTTCATGCCTAAACTATTGTGGCATCACACAGCCTCCACCAGTGTCCACTTACTCCCAGCGGTCCCTCTCTCCGTGGGGTCACAGTTTCTGTTGCCTTTGGGCATTCATAACTTTCTTACTATTTTTCCTCTATATCTCAAAAATGAGAGAGCTCATTCTGTGTTTGTTCCTCTCTTTACAACTTCACGTAGCAACTTACTGTACAGACCCATCCACATAACAGCAAATTTCATGATTGCATCTTCTTCCATTTTTAGAAATGTGTGTATATGTATACGTATGCATATATGTGTACGTATAAGATCTGTTTGTCTATCTTTCTGGCATAGTTTCTTATTTCAGTTACCTGTTTTTCGAGACTTGGGTTGTCTCCAGATTTTGGCTATTGTCAATAGTGCTGCAGTGAACATAGGAATGCACATGTCTTTTTTGAAATAGGTTCTTTGAGGCCCTTAGGGTGCACACCAAGAAGTGGAATTGGGTCCTAATGAAACTGCAATTCCTAATTGTTTGAGAAGTGTCCATGCTGTTTTCCAAAATAACTGGACCTGTAGAAGTGAATGAGAGTGACTTTCCCCCATCTCCATGCCAACACTGGTTGTTTTTGTTCTTTGTGTTGTGTGCCAGTCTCACTTGTGTGAGATTATTTCTATTTGATTTGCATTTCCTTGATGATAAGTGATGCAGAGCCTTAAAATTTTTTACATGCTGTTTTGACCATCCATTTGTAATTTTTTTTATTGAATTGCCATGAGATAGGGCATTACAAAATTGTTCATGATTGCGTTTTAGTCATAGTGTTCCGACACCCATCCTTGTACCAGTGTAACTTCCCAGAACCAGCGTCCCCAGTTTCTCTCCAAACCCTTCAAGCCACCTCCTATCCAGCCTGCCTCTATGGCTTGCACCTCTCCTCTTTCTCTTCCTCTCTCTCTCTCTCTCATATTAGGCATTATGGTTTGAGATACAGATGCTGAAAGTTTATCATCTGTATCTCTCTATCTGCTTTCAACACTCAGTTCTTGTCCAGATGTAATCATTATTATAAATGAAACTTTTTCTCTTGTGAACAATACATATAGTCACACATTGGTCTGCGTTCATTTTTTTTTTCTCTATCTCAGTTCTTGATAAGCCAAAGCAACAGAAACTCATTTGCGTAGTTTGCCTGTTGTAAGGAGCAAAAGTGTTTCCCTTTTGTTTTATCTTAGCATTTTATATTTATTTGAGAAAGAGATAGCATTTTTCATCTTCAACTTAAGACCTTTACTTAAATGACTTGATTTCCAAGTGCCAAGTTAAAAATGAGGCAAAATTAAATAAAATTACATTCCCTCATTGCTTTTCTGGAGGAAACATGAAAAGATCTGAGATAGCTGAGGTTTATTCTTTGTTGTTGTTTATTTGTTGTGTGTGTGGCGCGGGGGGGGGGGGGGGTAGAGTGCTCAGGGTTACTCCTGGCTCTGCACTCAGGTGGTGCTTGAGGGATCATATGGGATGCTGGAGATCAAATCTTGGTCAGCCACGTACAGGGCAGACGTCTCTACACACTGTATGACTCAGACCCCTCAGATTTACTCTAAGATCCATAAATGACCCACCACTAAGTTCCATGCCCCGAGCTCAGAAGAGACAAGTGTGACAGAACAGCAAAGCCACGCAACTCACAATAGCCAAAACATGAATTCAGAAACTCTAGTCTGTACACTCAAGGGACTACTACTCTGCCATTCAGAAAAGATGAACCATTCATTGCCTTGTCCAATAACAGGGATGGCACTTGAGGTGATGATGCCAGGTGACATGATTACTGGGTGGTTTCACTCATGTGGTAAACAGTGGCCAAAATATATGGGCTGGGCAAATGAAAAATATATGGTGATTACCGGAAGTGAAAGGGATCCTGTAAGAGGGGTTCAAGGAATATGGTAGTGTGGGGGATTGGAGCTTTGGTGTGAGTCTTACATACATACAGAGGTGTGAAATATTATGGTATTGTAAAACAGTGCCAGAATAATAAAATGTTTTTTAAAAAGCAAGTTGACATTTACATGCTTACTGTACACCATGTATTCTGCTATACAATTTGAATATATTATTTTTCTCAGTTTTCAGAACTGTGAAATGATTACTTTTGGATCTCGAGTCATGGTGAACTTAAGTTAATTTGCCACTAGAAAATTATAGCACTTGAATTTGAATTCAGTGGAATGTTTAATCAGTTCTTCAAACATTTTCACAGATTTCATTGGTCAAGATAATGTCATCCTAATGATTCCTGGGTCAATTTTCTGAGAATCGGGTTTTCTTTGAAGTTTTCTAGTTAAAAAAAAAAAAGTTTTTTACTTTTTCAGCTCATCATTTTAAATTAAGATTAAGGCATATTTTATTTAAACACAGTATTGTGAACTGAGAGAAGATCCATTTGTACTTCTAAGAAGCTGGATAATGTCATCATATGACCTTAGCTATTTTGAGGACTAGAAAGCTTCATAGATTACTTCAGGCTACATATTTTATTTATCCTCATTTGTTGAAGTCCACATTTTTATTTCATGGTATTCTTTTTTGGTCATGGCACTGGATTTGACAGCTGTTTAGGGACAAATTTATACACAGATATATATATATATATATACA